TTTGGTTAATAAATGATGCAAGAAGTCTTAATGGCTACAAAGCCTTACAGGACAATACCTGCTTCTACAGGGAAATAATATTGAAAAAAAAGGTAAGAAATTAAACAGTTATTAATTATTCTGTGAGCAACAGAACGAAAGAAGCTTGATTCCCTGTGTGCATTGGTAGATGCTCCTAGCTCAGTGCCTTAGTCTCTTACTTATATCTTACATCACATCACTGCTCACAACACCTTCTATAGCCTCTAGTGATTTGCTTTGCTTCTGTTCTGGATACCTCCAGTAACTCTTTGAACCCTCCCACAATAATTTCTGCTCTCATGCACCTCTGTCATGGTACTATTGGCTTTTCCTTATCTTGTTTCTCTACTTCCAGAGTACCTCAGCTTCCTCAAACAGCTCTCTCATGATAATGCTGTCAGCTTTACATCTATTACTTATCTACTATCATGCGATCTGATATTTCCAAAGGATACATTGCATTTTTTATGATACTCACTACCAGCAGAATTGATAAACTATTCTTTCAAAGCTGTGATTTTTTTCAAAATTAACAACAAATATTTCTTTACAGAACCGAGGATCTGCTAAACAGATGACATGGAGAGGAAGAAGCTCAGAAGAGACATATGAATAAGCAAAATATAGATCAGTTTCAGACACCCATAAAAAGACAAAATGATAAAAAAAGATGCATATCATTTAAATACACAGCTCCACGTATACAAAAATACTTCTACATTTGGAAAAAAAACAAATTAAATATAGCCACAGAAAATTTAAAATTTCTCACCCTGATGTATTTTCAGGAGAAAACACTTTTCCACAAGATGCCTCAAAGTCATTCAGTCATAGAATTCCACCAACATACCACACACAATCAATAGTTGCCCAAGTAAAATAGGCAAGTGAATATATAAAAAAGAACTATTAATGGATGTCTACCAATGCACTGCCTTCTAATATGATGATGTCACAGACAGCCACAAAACAGTCAGCTAAAAATACACAGATTTTAAATGTATTCTTGTCCAAAAGACAGCAGCTAAGAAAATACTTTTTAAGGTAGGTTCAAAAGATAAAATCCCAAATACAGTGGAGTTGGTGGCAGGCAAAAAAGCAAGGATTGCCCATTTGTTTTAAAGTCTTTGTAGCACCAGAAGCATCATTAACATTAAATCTAATCTTCTGCATAACACAGGCATGAAACTTAAACATACAGAACACCTTAAAAACATAGAGAGAGACAAAATGCTTCCCTCAAATAGCTTCCAGCCCTATTAATGATAAAATAGCAAATAAAAGAAAGAAAGAACAGGGGAAATAAACAGAACAAATCTGCTATAATTTTAGTTTTGACAGCATGCACACCTTCAGATTTGCATCCTTTAAAGGAATTAAAAAAAAAAAAACAGACAAGTAAGTCCACAAATACACAAGTGATATATTTATCAAAAAATACTTCCTTAGGAATTATGAGAGATTATAAAACCATTGGATATTCAAAGCCTCCTGTCACTGTAGGTTTTACTGTTGACGCAGGCTACATGATGTGGAAATGAAGAACTGTAAAGGCAGTTAGAGAAAAGAAGAGTGTGTAAGAGCTCCCAGCTTCCACAGTCAGTTCTGCCATTGTTTTTTTTTTTTTTTTTTTTTTTTTTTGTGGACTTCCACACATGGTCTCAACTTTTTAAAAATTAGAGAGTCTATTATCATCTGAATTTTTGCCTTTGATATATGGAAATCAAAATGAAATTCTGTAGTTGGAAGAATAAGATATATACAGGAAAAACTTTCATCTTTTACTTTTTTTTTCCCATGTGCTTCACTGTAAGTGCAGATCCACAGTCAAAACCAAAAAAACAGAATATGGAGACCAAAGACACACACTGAGGACTGTTATTGAGGCTTCATAGTTGTGACCATCAATAACTATCTGTCTTTGACAAATCCTAAAGTCATGTACTCAACCTGACAGTTGAGAGCAGGATTTGTGTTAAGAATATTATTCATTAATATATATCACAATGATAAATGCAAAATATTCGCTCTCCCACCAGAAGTGTGTAAATTTATGGAAAATAGATTACAGTGGCTGAAGCGTGTAGTGAAAAAAATGTGATAGAATGCGGATACAAACAACTGTATTTAGAACAAAATGCAATACGTAATACTTTCATAGAATACATGACACATGATACACTGGGTTATTCTTAGTAATAATCAGTGAGAAAAAAAACATTCATTATTTCTCTCTTTTGTAGATACTTGGAAGCATTTTTAAGAATAAACTACTGAATCTTCTCTTCTGATGTTGAAATTCTTCTGGTTTTGGGGTTGTTGTTTTTTTTTTTTTTTTTTCCAGCGTAACATCTTTTTGTTTGTTTAATAATTTTTGAATTAAACTAATAAATGTGATCTTCATAACTTGGAATGAACCACCATATTTTTCGGTAGGGCCAATGGTATTTTGTTTATGAGCACCACAGTTTATTGCCAAAAGCCACTTGAAGCTAAATTCAGAACTTTTGAAATGCTGTGGACAATTCATTAAGTATGTAGGCAAAGATATTTTCCTACACATCAAGTAAATTGGAGTTTTCATTAGGGAGACAGCTACACATTTTAAAATTTTATGTCTAAAAGTTCTTATCTACACTCTTCTTCGTCACTACCAAACAAGATGTGCTGCTGAGTTAGGTAGTATTATTCCTTTGTGCAAGCAAAAAGCACCAGTAAATTTCAGAGTTATGTGATTCAATGAAAGCAAAGACCTGTATGTTACATAGTAATTACTCAGAGACCAGCTAAGAAAAAAAGCATCTCTGTAAAACTAGAAGATTGTTTCACTGTAAAATTAGAGGATTACCTTGAACAGATAGAATGGTTGGATATAAATTTTTCTTAATGCACAAGCATTTCCTCTTTATTTATTTAAAAGTTTATTTTGTTACCCGGTATCATTTCAACACTAGGAAGCTCAGGCTTAAGGACTTCATGTCAGCATCCTGATGAACTTCTGGTCATGCTTGTTCTAAAATTTTTGAAACAAACCCCAGGGGATCTCACATGATTTATTCAAGGCAAATGCTGCTGGCTCAGACAGAAAAATGATTGCAAGTGTTTTGATAAAGAAATTATAAAGTGCTTAAGCAGACACTTTAAACTGTTTCTTACAAAGAAACTGTTCTGAACAAAAAGCAAATCAATACAACATCAGTTCATGAAGGTACAACAGGTGGAATGTCCATCTGTCACAAGAAATACATTAAAAAAGTCATCAAGGTGCGTAAAGAACAGCCTTGCAGGTTCTGTTTCACTGCCTCCTCTGAAGTCTAGGTATATCAACATAGGACAAGTCAGATTCTTACTGGCCTACTCTCTATATTAACCTAGATTGGCCAACAAATCTAATCACAGGTAAGAGTACTCCTACTTTTAAAAGGCCCTTTTTTATATATACAGTTCTCATTTATAATATCTGTAAGCAAAATGACACAGCAGGATGTGGGTTCTTTGGAGATAACATGCCTGGTGGCTTTTCTTTCATATCCGTAAATATTCACTGAAGGTGATCATTTCTCGTTGAAGACAGAAACAGAACTTCTACTCATTTCAGGCTCTGAGCCTCAGTGCAAGAACCGTATGAGCTACTGTCTTCTGAGCATGGAAACCTTAAGGAAACCCAAAGGAATCTTAAGAAAACTCAGCACCAAAGTACACAGACTGGAGTCTTCAGAAGTAGTTCAGCAAATTAAATCAGAACATCATCTCTTTGAGACTATAACATTTTAATCCATTTTCTCATCTCAGAGTGAAACAAAAGCTGAAATTCTTGTTTATTGTGCTGAACAAAATATTTAGAAAAAAAATCCAGTGCAGAAATAAGGCAATACTTAATTTCAGCTTTTTCACAACTGAAACACTTTCATATGGCCAAACTGAAGTGGTGTATTTAACATTCAGACCACATGTCTTTAATGAAGCACCACCCATTGCATTTGAAAAGAGTCCCAACTCCACAAGAGAGAGCATGGCTATGAGACATATAGCAAAACAGCTGCAGAGGGATACACATTTCAGTATATACTGACTTAAAATGAAACATTTCAGATTAGTTCAGCAAACCAGAATATTTTGTTTCATATTCAGCCAACTGGAAAGTATCTATTTCTTTTTTTGGTTTTCCTATGAGAAAGCAGAGAGAATCTACATAAAAGATTTTTCCTATGGAAAAATAAAAAATAGATATTGCAACAGTACAATTTCCATAAGGAGGAAAAGAGAAGCCAAAACATTTAGACAGAAAATCCCCAGATCTCTCAAAGGTATCTGAAGGTATTTAAAAATTCATTTGAGCTGCACAGAACAGATCCAGCAGGACTCCAGAAACTTAGTCAATCTTTTTTATATGATAGGTTCCTAAGGAGATTTTCTGAACCAAAATTTGGTAACAAAAGATTATAGAATAGACATGCTTTTTATTTATGCTCTATATCTTGTTCAAACAGGAAAATTAATTCCTTGGTCTTTGCATCTCCTCAAAGCAGATAAGGAATCTTCTCTACAGTAGCATCATATTGGCTGCATCATTTTGCCTCCTAAACACAGTCAGTATCTAAGCATGTTTTTTTCTTAGCCAAACTCTCTCCTTCCCATACCTCTACCTGACAAATGCCAAACATGAATTCAGCTGCATTCAGAAGAATGAGGAAAGAAGTAAACAAAATCAAAACAACCAGAGAGCTTTATAGTCGCCAAAAGCAGCAAATACACACCTGCCACATGGTCAGGGCTTTCTTTAGCACGAAGCGTCATATGCGAATAATGTCTGAACATTTGTGTGAGAGATTGCTGTTAAACAGGAAAGTAGGTGTGTGTCTTTCAAGTGAAGCCTGCAGAAGCTGGATTTCAGAAAAAAAAGTCAAATGCATGCGCCTATATTAATGCCTAAATGTAGAAAAGTGGAGTAGCAAATTAAATAATGAAGGATAAATCAAACATCCATGTGTTTCTTCTTTTTTTTTTCAGATGCTCATTTGCCATTTACCCTCAGCTGTTTCTGAAGACTATGAAAGTTGATTACTCAACTAAGTTTATGCCAATGATTGATCATTTCTGCTAATGACCACAACTCTTCTTCTATGAGGAATAGAAAAAGCAGTACAACAAAAACAAATCAAAAGTTAGAAGTTTTTGGTAATATCTCTGCTAAGTATTATTCACCAATCTTGAACTGGAATGCGGATGCAAAAAATCCTTATTTACTCAGGATTCACTTAGAACTTAGTAACATTTCAGAATGCTACTGGGAAAAGTGCAGCAGGATTCTGTTTACTGTTTTTTACAGTATAAATAATTCAGAGAGTAACAGTACTTTTAATAAATCTAGCTATGCCACTGAAGTCTAAGAACACTATGCCACAACTTAGAACTAAGCAAAAAAAAAAAAATATATATATATATATGCAGAAAATCATTTGTCAACAGTGCAGTAATCTTATTATGTGCCAGGTAGGTTTTGTATTTGGTTCAAATTGCTTTGTTCTTTGGAAAATGCTACTGGATAAAATATATTTGGCTAGTAAAGTAACTAGAGAAATTATTGTTGTGGGAAGGAAATAACTGGATCAGTCTACCTATAATAAAATTAATCTGAAACTCAACCCAACATAAAGAAAATCTAGTATTTTAAACGTTTAAAAGTTTCTGTGAGGTTATTTCTCATATCTCAACGCTTCTGTTTCAGCCAGAACTGAAATCGGAAATGCCAAAGTACTGTGAGAAGGGCTGTTCTGTATTACAGCTGACCCAAATGAAACAAGGAAGTACTGGAGAAGCACAGGACAGTCTATTTGAAGGAGGCTGCCATCCAGTTTCCAGACTACAGAAGTTTGGATGAGGTCAGATAAACTCTGGAAACTGTTAAACTTCTGGATGTATATCTGAACTGAACCAGCAGATCTTTGTGACTCATGCTTTACTGATGCCCTCTTTTTGTGGAGATGAGTAGAAATAAAATAGTTTTACTTTGGGAAAGAATGTAGGAAATGTTGCACAAACCAGAAGGTTGCTTGCATTATCCTGAAGATTAGAAATGGATTATAATCTGTAATTCTGATTGCACTGAACAATTTAAGTAAAGAGTAGCTGGATAGCTGGGCTGAAGCTGGGATGAGTTTCAACAAGGCCAAATGCTGGGTCCTACACTTTGGCCACAACAACCCCAGGCAATGCTACAGGCTTGGGGCAGAGTGGCTGGAAGCCTACGTAGAGGAAATGGACCTGGGGGTATTGATTGATGCTCAGCTGAACATGAGCCAGCAGTGTGCCCAGGTGGCCAAGAGGCTTGCATCAGAAACAGCACTGCCAGCAGGGACAAGGAAATGATTGCCCCCCTGTACTCAGCTCTGGTGAGGCCACGCCTTGTGTACTGTGTCCAGTTTTGGGCACCTCACTGCAAAACATTGAAGCCCTTGAGCAGGTTCAAAGAAGGGCAACAAAGCTCGTGAGGAGTCTGGAGCACAGGGCTTACGAGTAGTGGCTAAGGGAGCTGGGCTTGTTCCATCTGGAGAAGAGGGGGCTCAGGGGAGACCTTATCACTCTCTGAAACTACATGAAGGGAGGCTGTAGTGATAGAACTAGAGGAAATGGCTTCAAGCTGCACCAGGGAAGATTTAGGCTGGATGTTAGGAAATACTACTTTTCTGAAAGAGTGGTCAGGTGTTAGAATGGGCTGCCCAGGGAGGTGGTGGAGTCACCAGCCCTGGAGGTGTTCAAGGAACATTTGGATTTTGTGTTGAGGGATATAGTATAGTGAGAACTATCAATGATGGGTGAATGGTTAGACTGGATGATCTTGTAGGACTTCCCCAAGCTTGGTGTTTCTGTGATTCTGTGAATATGCCCTTGAAGTCAATTGAGATAAACTGGTTCATCTGGAAGACAACTTCTGTGATATCTGTTAATGACATGCAGTTAAATTGGAAACATTCTGGGCCTTACTTATCTATCATTGAAGCAATTGCAGTTTAGGTGATGGATATTTCATTAGGAATAGAGTTGGTTCACTAATCCTAGTTTGTCTCATTTTTCTCCCCAGTTGATGTTGCTCTGCCACAGTTTATAATGGCGACTCTGTGTTGGAACAACATTTATGATCACAGTGGCTTAGTCTCTTACAGGCGTATCTGTTGTCTATTTGCAAATCAAAGCTTGACTTGTAAATCCAGAATTACAGAATCACATAAATAGGTACCGTATAGTTTTGGGCTTGAAAATGAAAGCTGTGACCTGGCTTTGCTCATTAAAAACAGATGTTTTTCATCTCCTTGAAGTCTTAACACAAACCAGCACTATGAATAAGGTGCTCTCTCTTTTCAGTAAGCACTTACTTTAGAACTTTATTGTATTTTGAGTATTTAAATAATCAAATGCTTACATTAGTATTCTTAAGCAAAATCTTAGCCTAATTTTTTCATGGATATAACCTAGAAAATAGATATGGGGAAATGCCTTCATTCTATACTCAGTTTACAAAGCCACAGTGGGTGGGATCTTTCAAGGAACCGGACTGGAGCGACCACAAAACCCAGAAGTCACCCTTGCAATGTTTCAGAGGTGGCAGATCAGATACAAAGTTACCTTAGAGTTTCTGTAGCTCTGGAGCATACCGCTCAAGATCATCACTGGGGTTTGCCACCAGCTGCTCAGTGACCCTAGGGAGTGCTGTCCCACATTTCTGCACGCAATGAGTGGAGGGGTGAAGGCATGGCCCAGCTAATCCCCGTTGCTCATGCCAGTGCTGAGAAGGAAGTCTTCACCCAGCAGGCTCATTCAGCTCAGCCAGCAAATCCCGTGTTTGCTGGGGAGTGCACTCCAGCCAAGCTTGCCATGGCCAGAGCACGGTGCAGAAGGGAAGCTGCTCCAAGCTGAATGGCCTCTTTGTTCTCTGCCACAGCCACTGCACTCGCAACTCCAGCAGATACAACAGGGGCTGTATGAGAGCTGAATGGAAATGAGATGCTGGCTCCCCTGAAAACGTTCTGCTTCTTTCCATTAAAGCTGCAGAGGAATTCTGGCAACTGAAAAACAGCCCTTCCTATCGAGCAATATTTTCCTGTCTGTAACAGCATAAGAAGCCAAAAGCACAGACTGAAGCTAAAATACAGAGTAGATGAGCATGTATGGGCACTTTATATGTTGGTTGGCTACTCTGCAAAACAGAACCACAGCCTGTTGGCAAATTAAAGGCAAAAATCATACAGAGGCTGCAGGCTACCTGCAAATCTTTGAATTCACCCAAGCATGAGCAGAACTGCAAGGCACCCAGGACACATCATTCGCTAAACAATTTAATGTGTTTCTGCCACAAAGTTAAATAGTTTAACCCCTGATCTGTACACCTTTATCAGCATCATTATGGGTCCAAGTGCACATCTGATAATTAAGAAAGCTGTGAAAAAATGATGAGTTTGATTTCTTCCAAGCTGGGGTAAACTGGCAGCAAGCTATGGGATGCCATATTATCTTCTAATAAGTGTTATGGGTTTTCCTTTTCATCATCTGCTTAGCTAGAGTTAGTCTATTAATGAAGAATCCTGTACTTTCATAATTCATTTTGGAAAAACAATATTCAGAGTGCTTTCCTCAAAACCCTTTCCTGTATAGACCCCATTCATACCTACAGTGACATAAAATGCCAAAATTCATTTGCAAGTGAGACTTCAGGCCAGTCACTTTAGAGAAAACAACTGTACAGCAGATGAGAAACAGGAATTGTATCACATTAAATATAAAATGTTCCTATTGGTGGCATAAAATAACTTTGAAAAACAAGTCATGTAATTAAAAGAGCAGTGTTTGTTTGCAGTAGCAGAGTTACTTGCTATTATCAGTGCCAATTTGCTCATCACCTAGCTAGGTATTGCTTAATTCTAACGTGTATATCCTGGTGGTAAAAGTTTACAGAAGATTTTAGACTCGGTGTTTCCTATAGCCTACACAACCTCTGTGCTGGATCTTTCAGTTGATTACAGTCATAAAAAAAAAAAAAAAAAAAAACATGAAAAATCTCATGACTTCGTTTTGGAAATGCTTATGTCTCAAGCCCTTATTCAAGGGAAAAATACCATTGGTGTAAATAAACACAGGATGTGGAATATATAGAGTCCTTGCTTTGTAACAGTTCACACAAGCTTCAGCTGCATGTTTACTCGGGGAAATAAAGGAAAGCTAAGAAACTCTTTTACTTCTCTGCATTTCACTAGAGTAAGCACAACTACAGCAGCAGTTCTACTTAGCAACTTTTAAGTGGCTATTAACATGTTGACCAGAACATTCATCGGCTTCAAGGAGGTGCTCAGCTGCTCAAAAGATCAGGTCATAGGTACTTAACTGTTCCTGAGCACAAAATAACCGAAACTATACTATTATATACCTACAGAAAATACTTTTAAAGTGAATGCTCAGGCAGATCGCGGGCTTGAGAAGTTTTTCTGCCCACAAGGCCTCAAACTTGTCAATGAATATGAATGCAGAATTTGAATCTGAAATAGTGAGATTCCCAGTGGTCTTTCTGTGAAACTTTAAAGCTGTAATCACAAAGAGAGCTTTTCAAAGTGACTGGTATGTAAGACACTAAGCTTTGAAAGTCAGGAACAGTGCAACCAGAAATGCACGTTGAACAAAATTCATTTAGATAGCTTTCTAGAAGAGAATACATCTTAAGAGCACCTGCTCATACCCATCCTTGGACAGTACTAAATCTGGAGCTACATGAACACTGTGACTACAGGGATAGAAACTGAACCAAAAAAATATGGTAAATATCCATTAAAAATACATTTAGTCATTCTTTTCACTTGCAAATAACACAGATGGACATTCTGCCTTTTACTTGATGCTGAACGTTTGTAGTTCATGAACACAGAGATAAAACAACATGAAAAATAAAGCAAAGCATTCTTCATAAACTGGGAAATAGGCAGTGTATTCATGATAACATCTGCTACATTATCTAACAGATAATTTTTGAAAAGTTAAAAGCTGTATTTGCTTATTAGCTCATGAGTGCTTTTCTATACTTGTTATTTACCTAGAGGCTAGAAAAGTAGAACAAAGCCAAGCCTTTGTTTGCTTAGTGACCTATCAAGCAGTTGCACAGAATTATTTTTAAGTAGACCCAATGGCAGCTCTTTTGAGTTGCTGTCGAGTTTTTGTTTACCTTGCTGTAAAGGCAATAATGGCAAGGTGGGGTATTATTCACTCAGTAGGCAGGACCCTAAAATTCTGAATGCTCCACTGTTTACCAAGTCACCGGACAAATGAGTGCTGGGCTGGACCATGTTTACCCAAATTCTGGACTACTGACAACTGGGTGTGGCTTTACCCAACTGTTACTCGAGCAGTTCTGAAAAGAAGCTGCAGTGTCTTAAGGAAATAATAGAGACTTGGTAGGAGGAACTAATACTTATTTAAGGCATGACATATTAATTAGGAACTATATCTGGATAGTGTGACCAAAGGCTAAAAGTTAACTGGTTTTGAAAAAGAAAAAGATTTCTCAGTTCTAACTTTGTGAGTAACAGTTAAATAAAAGGAACATCTGTTTATCAAAAGCAACGTGCTGCTTCTAATTAAACCATCATTTGTTTGATGCTATATTAGTAACTAGGGATGCAGCTCACACCCTCCAATAGACAAACTTTAAGACTTCCTTCTCCAGTTCTCTATACTGCCAGAGGAAAAAATGCAAGTTCTCTGGTTTCATATTTTGAATAGGTGTTACCTCATTATGGGAGATATAAGAGCTGAGAGACACATTGTGCATTACATAACGCAGTTCATGCGGCAACATATGCTTAAAGTTACAGCTTAACGACTAAAGGGAAAACTAAACCAAATAAGTGTTTAGCTGCTGTGAACCTGAATTGAGGAAAGTTTTCTTATGGTGTGCAATGACAAGAGTTTTCAAATGCTTTTAAGAACGGTGAAGAGTTTGAAGTGCTTTGAGTTATAATGATAAGGCCTGAACCTTG